AGCTTCCCCACTGACTTTGCTTGTGGGAAGCCGGCAGAGAAGGTTGCAAATGGTGATCATGTGACTGCAGGACGCTGCAACTATCATAAGCGTGAGCCAGTTGCCAAGTGCCCAGATCATGATCATCAGTGCAGGAGTAACAGGACGGCCGGAACTTTGAGGAATGGTCATAAGTACCGCTCATTCATCGAACACTGAATGAGTGGTTGTTTAATGAGGATTACCTGTATTGTTTTGGGGGGCAGGTAAAGACATTTGTATTCTCTCAGAATGTTTAATGTTAATTCTGAACTCATAGTGCAATAGAACCTCTAGTTAATCTTATTTATGTTCTTTTCTTTCTACTATATAGTGGCTGTTTTTACACTTTTTTACACAAATTTACAGTTTTTAATAAAACTGATAGTTTAGCAGTTTTTTAAATCCATTTTCTGCTATTTGGAGATTCTTCTCCCTTCCCCAAAGCTAACTTATCAAGACTAGATCATTCCATGTCTGTCTATGTATAGAAAAAAGGATAGTTCTCCATACGCTGAAATGTATGAAATGATCTGGTGATAGTAGGAGTCTTCTGCTTATTTGCCATATCATTAAACCTGAAGATCAAGGCATCATAGAAAGTTAAGCCTCTCCTGCTAATATCTCCAGCCTTGTAGAGGAATCAAAGGAAGCTGTAACTCTTAGACTAGTAGATTTTTTACACCTCTTTTCTAGGAGGCGTATTGATCTATTCAGTATGTAGGATTTTCATACTCATACTGCCCTTGCTGCTGCCGCCACCGCCACCACTTCCTCCTCCTCCTCCTCCTCCATAGAGTGTTAAAACACTCTTCTTGTAATCAAGTGGCAGCTATTCTTCAACAATACTAAATTCCTGTTTTAATTCTTTCAGGAAATTTGGATTTGACTGGTCAAAAGCAAGTCTTCAAAGCAGAAAATAATCCCTGGGTAACCCCTATTGCAGATCAGTTTCAACTGGGTGTTTCTCATGTGTTTGAATATATTCGTTCAGAAACATACAAATAGTGAGTATTGCATTTTTGCATATGTTTTGTACCATTGTTCTTTGCTCTGAGATTTGCTAGGACATTTTGCTCTGTTATTCATCTCCTCATAAACCAAGGGTCAACATTTTCCTACATTTAAGTCAGTTTTCCCCATTCTAATGTCTTCAAGTTACAGTATTACATTTCTCTTCATTTCAAGCCACCACAATAATTGTTTTTAAGTCTTTGTTTCCCCAAATTAATTTGCAATTGTGGCAATACAGGAGTTTTTTCCCCTATTCACATGTAATGTTTATTGCCTGCATCTTGTCTAGAATAAACAGTTGCAGCTTAGTTTAGTCAAAGCTTTGATGTGATTCAACAAAACTATAAAAGCTTTTTAGGTAGATTCTGAATGAGGAAAAAAATGGAAAGAATTCTGCCAGCATTGTGTTGCCTGTTAATCAGTAAACATACACCTTAAATTAAATAGAGCACCATTAATATCTCTTAGAGTTAAGGCCAGTGTTTCATATTTTGTCCCTATTGTGAATGAAAGTGCATTTAAAAACAAATGATCATATGACATAAATTGTTTAGAACAAAGTTTAAAATATGTCTCTTTGTATGGCAAACTGGGATTACCTTTATCCAAGAGGGGACGTGGTGGTGCAGCAGCTTAATGACGTTGGAGTTTGCCAGCCAGAAATGGTCGACTCTCCAACGGTTCGAGCCCAGCTCCATGTGACGGAAGTGAGCTCCCGTCATTTCGTCCCTAGCTCCTGCCCACCTAGCAGTTCGAAAGTATACCATCCACAAGTAGATAAATAGGTACCCCCATTTCGGTGGGGGGAAACGCCGGCAGCACAGGGAACAGGAATTGGCGCTGGACCTCCCTGGACACGATCGGTGAAAAGATCAGTGGAGAATGAAAAAATTCCCGGATGAACCAACCTCCCTAGGAATGCCACTGGCCAGCTGGTGCAAAGCTAGCTCACCCTCTTGTGGTGCATCAGTGCAACAAATGAAGTAGCAACTGCTGGCACCAGAACATCTACTTTGTATAAAAACATTGTAGACTCCCTGGCATTGTATACCATATGCTAAATAAATATCACCTTTATGATAGGTAGGGATAACTCCAACAAATTAACTGCTCGTAAATTTCCTGATCCAACATGTAAAGTGTCATGGGTCAGCTTTTTCCATTGTTTTGATTGATTATATGCCATCAAGTCATTTTTGACTCCTAGTGGCCACATAGATATTCTCCATGATTTGCTTAACTGTTTTTCATTTAGAATTTATTGAGAAGCACTCTTTACAAACTGGTCTCGAATGACCTAAAAATGACTTGGGGTTAGCAGTAGGCAAAAGGGAGAAAATTCTGGGAGTAGTGAGTAGTGCAGAGTTTGGAGTATCTTTTGTGTGTGGCTGAGGTACATCACTGCAATTGATGGTGTGGTAGGAGGAGACTATTCCCTGAATATTCTGAAAGGAAAAATCTGGTCCTGCTCTGCCAATGCTGAAATATGGATTACCAAAGTGAGAATGAGATCTAGGATATTGAGCCCTGTATTTGTGTGTGGTGGTAAGATGATCTGTTTTTTAACATTTCAGTTGCTCATTTAAATATGTATTGCTCATTCAAGTTGAAGATAAGGAGCATTCAAAGTCCACAGATGTATTTTTTTTCCAAGGGGTGTATAGTCATACCCAGAACAGACCTAACCCAGCTGCTGAATATGTTTCCTGTTTACATTTGAGAGCACAGTTCTAGTCCCCAAATGGCTAGCTGGAGGGTGTTAGTAGAATAGATATGCTACTGGCATAGACAAATTCTATCAGTGAAGCTTGATGATGCCCTCAGAACATTGTTTAGATGTTAATCTATTGCTATCAATGTTACCTTTTTCTGATGGAAGTAGAATCTTTGTGTAGTGCAAAAGATCTCCTATTTCCTGTCATCAACCCTATCTTCCCCAGTATCCATCTACTTGATTAGCCAAGTAGATTTATGTGGGAAAATTTTGATCTACATTCCTACCAGTTATTGAGTATCTTACTGATTATTGGTAATTATTGGTAATATAAAATAGATTTACAAGTTGTCTTGGAGTGTTGTTTGTTTGATACATACTACAAAAATAGAAGGTGTATTATAGTAGTACAACAGCTCTGTGTTTGGAAGTGCCATAGCTAAGAAAGGGAATTAAAGTACATAAATTATTGAAATAAGCTTCCACCTTCTGGTTCATGATGCATTTTCAATGAGGCCTTCAGTAGTGAATGAATTACCCTCCCATGGATTAGAGGATATGTCAATTGCAACCGCCATATGTTAGGAAGTATGATGAAACCATAAAGAAATGTCTGGCTGTGTTGAAGATGTAAATCCAGTAATATTGCAGTGAGCCATTGTCTTAACAGTTAAGAAGTTGTAATTAGCCAGAGAATGTCCTTATAAGCCATGTTAGGTTCTCTTCCAGGTGGTTTCAGTGTCAGAATTTTTGAGACAGAAGTCAGTCTAGGATCTTTGTATGTGCAGCAGATTTTTTGGTATCAAATACTTCAGGGAACTCTGATTGTATTAATAAGGAAATGGCTGCAGGAGATTGTACATGAATACAAGAAAAGGTTACTTTTGGTACTTATCCTTATAATAAAATAAACACACAATAAATAATAATTCTGGACTAACTCCAGTACTGAAATCCCAAAACTAATATGAGCATATATTCCATTAAAATATGGTACTTTTTTGTAACTTACCACAATGTGTTAAAGCAGTTCTTTCCTCTGAAACAACAAACTATAATGTATTTTTTTTATTCTGTTGTTGACTTGGTTTTGGTTTTGTTCTTAGGGGCTTGAAACATTATTTAGAGGCTCCATATAATCCAACATCGTTTTTTACTTGCTTGTTTGTTTATTCATTGCATTTGGAAGAGACACATCTTGTTAGCAAGCTGATAAATTGAAAAGACACAGAAAGGAAGTAGAAGGGAAAAGATAGAAGAGAGAGACCAGTTATTCCAATCCAGAACAAAGTGATTGGTTGGCTTACAATGTCTTGATGTGCCTTCCCCAAAATATAGTCAAAAGATGTGGTTGGGAATGCTGGGAATCATTCTAATGCACCTAGAGGGCTCCACATTGGGGGGAAAAATCTCCTAGGATGCCTATTTTTAATATATCCTTGTTCCTCCTGCAGGAGAAAGATCAACCCTTTCACCTTCTTCTAAACCATAATGCTAAAGCCTTTCCTTTGAAAGCAATAACTATATAGCTTTTATTGGTGCCCCTAGTCACCTTTCAGAGTAACCTTTTATGTTTGAAGTATAATTCTCCAGGGATCTTGTACGTCTAAGATAGTGACAACGACATGATGAATAGTAGACTTTATTGGTTATAATGTACTCAGCAAGTGCACACAGGCATAAATGTTTAAAACAAAACAGCAAATTAAATTCCTTTGAATAATTGCAGTACCGAAACGCTATTCAAAACTGGTGTAACGTAATTAGTAATCTGATGGTGCGGTAAGATTTTAATGAGATAAGAAGGGATGTTAAGGATTGGCCTTAGTGGCTAGCACTCATGAAACAGGAGGGAATTTTTTAAATACATTATACATATTAATCATGCTCTCCTGATTATTTCACCATGTACAAAGAGCTCTTTTTTTTCTGAACAGTCTATTATTTCAGTATTCTCATTTATGGTTCTGATTTTGAAGTTGCTACCTGATTATCTCATATCAGCTAAAGCTTTTCTTATGGTGGTTACAGTGCTTTTCACTCTTTGCTTTTTTCTGTGCAGCTGCTATACTAAGCATACACTTTTCCACACTTGCTTTGCGAAATGCTGTTTCCATCAGTGACGTTGTCATTTGATTTCATCTAGTTCTTGAGAAGTGTCTCACTTTATTACCTTTCTAGAATTAACTTCTAGAATTAACCCTGTGAACCAGAGTAATTCAGCACCATTTAAAACACAGTTCAGTCCTCAGAATGCCAACACTGACCAACATCAAAAGGGCTCTCCCATAAAAACAAGGTGAGAAATCTGTTCAGTTTCCTTTAAGTATTGTGGGTTATGGTGCCCTTTGAAGTCAAACAACTTTTTTCCCATTCCAGGATTTTGTAAAGAAAGGCAGATATCCAAGATCCTGCACCTTCTCTCATAATTGCTTAACCAACTTGATTCTTTCACCCTTTTTTACACAACAGAAAGCTATCCTTCCACTTGCGGCTGGAGGGGAGGTAGCCTGCTTGTGACACCTTCTTTGCAGGGATACCTCCTGCCTTGCAAATAGTGTAAGCTTCAGCATCCAGCCTAGCACCTTTCCCTTCTCTTTGCCGCTAAAAGACAGCAGGGTTTGCATGTTATTCATCCATTCACACATGCAATCACCCTTCAATTTCATTTTTATTTATTTAACAGAAAGATGGGACATAATACAAATTATTACTGTAATTATTATTGTTATTATTAACAATGCAGCCTCCTATCTGAGAAAAGTCTTACAGATACCTCCCACACACATATACTTTGGCAGATATAAAGCGGTTTATTTCAGGATCTCACATAAGTCTGAAAGCTTGTCCTTATGTAGCCAAAAATACCATCAGCCGTGCACAAGAGAGAAGTATTAACAGGCTTAAGAAAACCCTGAGGTTTATAGAAACACAACTTTCTCCTAAAACAGCATGAGAATGAGCATGTTTAGAAGCTTGATATGATGCCAACAGGTAGAAGAAGGCAGATGGAAATTCAGAAGAGGTAGGGGAGATAGAATACAGGTAGTCCTCACTTAAGTATGGTAACTGGGACCGGCATCTCCGTTGCTAAGCAGTGTGGTTGTAAAGCACAAGATCATGTGACTGCACTGACTTACCACAGCAGTTGTGGCAGTCCCAGTTGCTGTTGTTAGGCAAATCCCGCGCAATCGCAGCATCCTGCAGTCACATGATATCCATTTGCAACCTTCTACCGGCTTCCCCATTGACTTGTTGGAAGCTGGCAGTGAAGGTCGCA